GATCTAATACTTGTTTAATATTGACCAAGCACCATTTAATACAAATGTCCACTTAATCTTTAATAGTTGGCCATTTATTTAGGACAGAAATGCTATAGCCACTGTAATTAAAAGAATATGTGTACATCAAAACGCGTAAACTCAGAGTGAGGGTTTGAGCTTTTATTTTGAAACCGCAATGTATTTTCCTGTGTTTGCGTAGATTTATAAATGATTTACCTTACAAATCTGATGAAATGGCGCATGTTGCATTTCCAGATGAACATTATAATAAACCCAAACTCACAACAACATGTAGAGATGGCGTTTGAGACACTCCACACATGTAAATGATAACAGTTCCTGTGGAACTACTGTGAACGGAGCCGCTGTGTGACGCATGTACTTAACCTACACGCATGTAAATAATTAAAGTGCATATACTGTATTAGAACTGCATTCCATATAATTATTTAGCCAATTAAATCGTAGCGTTTGTGAATTCACAATTATGCTTAATTATGGTTTAATATATCATGCAGCCTTGGGAAACGTCTCGGTTACATATGGTAACCCTCGTTCCCTGAAGAAGGGATCGGAGACATCACGTCGGTGACTGATGAATTGGGATATCGCTTCGAATCTACTTCGAGTGTAAACTAAACGAGCCAATGCACATTGGCATGCAATTATTGCATCCAGCTGCCGCTGATCACAGCGTGAGTATAATAAGGCAGCAGGTGCAATGCATACCAGGTTTTCGCTGAAGAGCCGACCCGGCGACCCGGCCGCTCAGCGGTGGTACAGCAACTGTGACAACGGGACATGACGTCTCCGTTCCCTCCTTCAGGGAATGAGGGTTACCATACGTAACCGAGACTTTCCCTTTCAGTCGGTCACTCCGAGTCATGTCGGTGACCGACGAATTGGGATCCCTACCAAAGTGCCATGGTGCTGCCCCTTCCAGTGCCCTGTGCGAGCCGCCTGCACCCCTACCTGGTGTAGGCCGGGGCTTGGGACAAGTAGCTCCACTCACCATTTTTCAAAGCACTACCTTAATGAGTGAGATTGGATAACACTGGGAAAACGTACCCTCTCCACTTGGAACAGGGACGCTGTGGAAGCCCCATCCTTCCCGAAGGAGTTTTCGGAAGCAAATACACATATAGCATCCGCTTAGGTGTATATGGAGAACTGGAGGTGATTGTAACCCTCTTGGAAAGGCAGAAGTCTGCCGGGGAAACACGGACTCTATGGCTATACCATGGACTATACACATACAAGAACCGCTTAGGTCTCAATATGGAACCGAGCCTTCCACGGTACCCATGGATTCATCGTGAAGGCCCTGTAACGAATCAGCTCATGAGGAAATATGAATCAGGGTCAACTGTCTTGTCAATTCTAAGAACGTTAATTTCCTGGTTAAGGGAAATAACTTTCTTACTGTACAATTCTACAAAAACTTGTAGCATAAATCTGCATGATTAAGTGACTCCAGTTATGAGCAAACAATGAACAACGTCAAGTGTGATACAAGTAAGGTTTTATTAACTACATAAACACTTAAACTAGTCTAACATACTACATAAACACTTAAACTGGTCTAAAATACACATAAACACTTAAACTGGTCTAACATACACATACACACACACATACAGTTGGTAGAGGAAAGGGTTAAAGCTTAACTCAGTACAGAGAAGAGAAATTGATTGGTCCAGACGCTACAGCCCGGCGCCGGACTTTACGCCACGTCCGCTGCTGAGGGTGATGGAGGATCTCAACAGGGTCTACTGTAGGACAATCTGGAGCAGTTTTAGCAAGCCGACACTAACCGGGGCCTCTCGGCGCCACTACCCGTTTGAGGTGAGAACACAGGAGGATGCCGGCTCCACACGGAGGCTATAGACTAGCGAACGCTAGCCCAGCCCGCAGCCCTACAAATGCGAGTCAGCGGGCCCAAACTCTAGGCATGAATCGTCGACTGAAAATGTGTGCAGGTTCCCTACCCTCATGATGGAGGCCAGTGCAAGCAGGAGCAGAGTTTTCAATAAAAGAAACTTTAGTTCAACTGAATGCAAAGGCTCAAATGGCCCCTGCTGTAATGATTTTAGCACTAGAGACCCAAGAGGGTATAGAGAGGGGGCTGGGAAGGATTCAATCTCCTGGCTCCTCTAAGGAACCTGATGATGAAGTCATGCTTACCTACGGACTTCCCATTCACCAGGTCATGGTACGCAGCAATAGCAGCAACTTGGACTTTGAGGGTGGAGGGAGACAGCCTTCGCTCCAGCCCTTGCTGCAGAAAGGAAAGCACGACCGCAATCGGGCATCTCCGGGGGTCTTCTCGGCGAGAAGAACACCACTCCACGAACAGGTTCCACTTCAAGGCGTAAGCGTGTCTCGTAGACGGTGCTCTTGCCGAAGCGATGGTGTTCACTACCTCCTGGGGTAGGTCACCTAGAACCTCCGCGTCCCATCCAGGGACCAGACATGGAGTTTCCAATGGTCTGGACACGGGTGCCAAACGGTGCCCCGTCTCTGAGTCAGTAGATCCTTCCTCAGAGGAATCTGCCAAGGAGGGGCTGTCACTAGCAAGACTTGCTCCTTGTCCTCCCAGATTTTGTACAGTGTCTGTGCGAGAAGGCTCACTGGGGGAAACTCATACTTGCGTAGGGCCTGCGGCCAGCTGTGTGCTGTGAGTAGAACAACTGGCAGTGAGAGGTTTCTGGAGAAGCAAACAGGTCTACCTGAGCGCCTCCGAAACATCCCCAAACCAGCTGGACCGTCTGGGGATGGAGTCGCTATTCTCCCGGGAGCGCAGCTGTCGGTTGATTTACGCAACGGTCGCTGTGTTTTCCGTTCGGACCAGTACGTGCTTGCCTTTTAAGCACCCTTTGAGACGGTTCAAGGCAAGGCGCACTGCCAACAACTCTAGGCAATTGATGTGCCAATGCAGCTGCGGGCCCGTCCAAACCCCTGCCCGTTGTATGTGGCACCCCACCCGGTCGTGGAGGCATCCGTGTAGACCACAGCATGCCTGGAGATCTGCTCTAGGGGCACCCCTGCTCGGAGGAATGCAAGATCTGACCACGAGATGAAGGTTTCGAGACAGGCCGGTGTAACTTGGACCCGGTGAGTGCCGCGCTTCCACGCCCACCTCGGGACTCGGCCATAAAGCCAGTGCTGGAGCGGTCTCATATGTAACAAGCCGAGCGGTGCGGCCGCCATATGGCTGTAATTGGTTTGCAATAGCTGTCATCTCCGGATCCGATTCAGGCTTTGCCACCGTCCCAGAGAGCGGCAGCACAGCCGAATCTTCATCGGACAGCTCTCCCTCCGATGCTGAGATCAACATCTGGTCGGGGGGAAGGCCACTGGATACTGCTTGTACGCTCTTTAAAGAGGGCCCAGCACGTTCCGTGGGTCGCTCTACTGGATCGGAGGTGCAAGAGGAGTGATGGTCCCCAGAGGGTTGGTTCATCACTGTAACCCTCAAACCGACCATGCTACTGCCGGAAGTGGTTCTCGCCTGTCCGCCAGAACGAGCCCCAGATCGCGGCAGCGGCAACGGGACTCCGCCCCCTCGCAGATAGCGGAGCCTGGTTCGCAGCTCTGAGATGGTCATCTTCCCGCAATGAGAACATGACTCATCCACGAAGGCCACCTCAGCGTGCTTGATGCCCAGACACGTGAGGCAGCGATTGTGACCATCACCCGGTGCCAGGTAACGACCGCACCCAGAAACGCACGGGTGATCCGTCGTCTTTATAAAGGCGCACCCGTGGAGCTCTTTTAGAGAAATTTGCTCTTTAGGAAATGCTCTTTTAGTGCTGAGGCGCACAGGGGAGATGGCCGCTTGCAACACGACAGGGGGTAGTGCAGCCTGAAGTGCGCAACCCACTCG